ACTTCTCTCTCTCAAAACGGCTCCTCTTTCTGGCCAACAAGATTTCACACTTGCACGGTCCAGCAAAAGCTCTGGCTCTCAAATTGGCTCAGTCAGGTGAGACACTGTGCACAACTTCGCTGCAAATTCTTTGCTATGGAATCTTTGAGGTTGAATCTAAGCTTTGGTCTCCTTATCTGAGAAAGGGGACCCAGAATGGGGCCTAATTTCATATTGAACAAGTACCTACTACATTCCAATGCTGTTTCTGGCTCTTGGAATAGAGCAGTTCACATAACTATCAACAATTTGGATCCTCCTGAGTTCGATCCCTGGTACCAAAACAACAACAACAACAACAACAACAACAACAACAACAACAACAACAACAACAATAATCTGTGTCCTCCTGGAGTTGACATGGTAGTAGAGAGAAGGCAATAAAAAAAAAGCATAATATTATATACTTTGCTAACATGTGGTTAGTGCTAAGGTGAGAAGAAAAGACAAAAAAGCAGAGTGAGAAGGAAGAAAATTAGAAGACCTAGGGTTGGGCATTTTAAATAAAGTCGTGAAAGAAACCTTTGACCAAGATGTGACCAAGATGAGGAGCTGAGCAAGCACATGTCTGGAAGAGGATGCAGGGTCCCCGCATGAGGAGCTCAAGGCCAGCAAAGATGTCTGTATTGCTGGTGCGGGGTTGAGTAGGGCACAGAAGAAGGTGAAGTCAGAAGGTGAGGTCTTGTGTTGGATTTGCATGAAGACTGCCGGACATGATGTCTGGAGTGTGCTTAGTAGGGGCAACAGGCCCTGTGAAGTGCCTTCTATCCCCTAGCTCACTCAGTCTGTACAGCAGCCCTGCGTGGTAGGTACTAGCATTGTGCTTGTGCTACATCCAAGAAACTGAGTTTTAGGCAAATGAAATCATTTGCCAAGGTCATAAACACCAGTAAATGTAATGGTAGGGTTCATACCCAGAATTTGAACTCCAGCAGCTAGTCTCTGGAGACTCTGACTTTAAGCACTGAGCAACAGGGTTGGTAAGGATGGTGAGGATGAAGGAGGAGTCTGTGGAAAGTGGAGATACCTACCAGGAAACTGGGGCTGCAACAGAGGAGGAGGAAGAATGAAATGAACAACCAGGACTGTAAGCAAAGCAGGAGGCAAGAGGCAGAGAAAACACAGCAGAACAAGCAGGGACCAGCCAATTTGTAACAGCTGCTCAGGCCAAAGGGGTCCAATCGCACTCCCAAGGGAAATGAGAGCAGATGGTACAGTCAGAGCCCACTCATGGGACCAACAGCAGAACAAGGTGAATTGGTGAGGCCATAACAGTCTTGAAAAAGCACAGACAATTGGTACAAGGAATCCTGCCTCCAAAAGATAAACAGTAAGTGATGTTTAGACTACACTGAATCAAAACAGGAATTTCCTCTTACTAATTTAAACCTGAGCTTTTCAAATAGGCACTCTGGCTGTTTCTTCTAGTTAAAACATGTTAACAGTGAACACTGGACCCTCATGGAAAAAGTTCCGGTACTGTATAGAGTGCATTGCGCATGTAATCGTATTTCATCACCAAAACGCTGTCACGCAGTGGATCTCCATCTCTAGAGGAAGAAATTGAGCTCAGAGAGCCGGGGTCGCCCTCTAAGCCAGGGGATTATGAGGAAGAACTATCACTTCCTCCATGGTCTGTGCAGCATGAGGCTTGCACACACAATCGTTAGGCCACATTGTTGCCCACGTTGTGGGCTGTGGCCACATTGGTTGTGTGAGGAGCAAGGACAAGTGGGAGCAAATCCTACTGCAGCTGCAGCATTTGGTCTCCTCTCTTGGAGAGTTGTGCCTGCAGAAACTCTACTGTTGCTGTTCAATGCCTAGTCAGTAGGAAGGAGAGCTGCTCAGTGCCCATCACAGTACAGGGAGGCTCAGGCTGCTGCAGACTCTCAGTAATTTCACAAGCTCAGAAGCCTCAGGGATCAGCACAACTGATGTCTGAGATTCAGGATTAAAGATCTGGCAAAGGGTTTTGCAAAGAAGTTCAATGCCTGGAAGATAATCACCTCAACTCTTTCCTCCGATTCCTTATTCTATACCTCCCAGGGGGTCAGTCATTCTACAAAAGCCTAGTGTTTATCAGCCATATTTAGGTCATATTTATGGCCACTCAGGGTCTTCTATATACAACTTCCACCACTCAGAAATTTTCATATTTTCACGAATTCCTCCCTGTGGCAAAAGCTGGAACCTGGGCCAGGGATTTAGGCATTGTCTGCTTCGCAAGCACAAGGTCCTGAGTTCAAACCCTGATACCAAAAAAAAAAAAAAAAAAAAAAAG